TGATAAGGCAATATGAAATGAAAAAATAGTTTTGACTTGAGAATTTTTTCTGTTGGTAGGGAAGCAGATATGAAAATAACTTAAATAATAAGCTGAATAAACTCAACTTTATAAGCCTCAAAGTCAGGGTAATATCTGTGCCTGGTGCTTAGAGGGATAGTATTTCATCACAGAACAGATGAACATTCTGTTTTCTTCTGGTCTTAAAAATCTATGAAATCAGATCTCTCAACTCTGGAAAAGTGCAGCACTTTTCTGTGAACCAGAGAGAGCTACAGAAAAGCATGTCAGACCTGGTCCTTTAAGGGCACCTTGGTGGCTAAGTCAATGGGAATACTGCTAATGTGATACTTGCAGAGTTCAAAGTGGCCTTTGAAGGCAGTGCAAAGAGAAGCAGTCTTAGGTGTTTTGTGAAAATTTCCTTCCCCAGCTGCTGCTGGCAGGCGTCCTATGGGTTGGGAACTGGTCTGGCTATGAAGGTTCAAGATGAGCAGCTGCCCTTGAGCATTTGCTTGCATCTGAATTTGTAGCTCTAGAAACATGGAGATGCATCCAAAGCTCAGCCTCCCAGCCCAGGATGAAGAGGGAAGTCAGCATGGTGCAGGCAGATGTGCCCAGCTACATGCTGGGGCAGAGAGGCTGTGTGGCTCCTGTCCCAGGCTCTGCACCAAGTGCAAGAACCTCCGGACATAAACAGTGCTGGCCTCCTTCCCCCTGGCAGGGCACCAATTTGCAGACATTATCCCCAGGCAACAGGAGATGAGCTCAGCCAGATGAAATTTGGCCAGTTCAGGTGATAAAGCACTTTGCTGCTGCAGAGCTCATTATGAACCTCACAGCCCTTTCTGGACCTAGGAGATAAACAAGGGAATTCATTAAGTGCATTGGCTTATTAAGTGACTGACTTACCTTAAAGATTCAGTCTACTTCATTTGTTGCTCATCATAGGTAATTGTAGATGATTAAGGATATGAGGGTTATCAATTTTCCCCATATTGGGTAATCACCGCTGTCCTTGTCTTGTCCTAATTATTTAGATTCTGATTTACAGTGACATACAATATTTTAACTTCTTACATTTTTTAAAATTTTTTTTTTGCAACTGGCTTGTCAAAGACACATGAAAGCAATTTTTATTTCCAACAAAAATGCCAACACAGAAAATTTCAAATTTTCGTCCACTTCCAGTAGTAGAAATGTCCCTGGAGTTTGAGGTACAAACATCCAAGAGTCAATAAATAGCTAGTTGTTGGAGCAACTAACCCAAAACTCCAAAGCAGGAAAAAAAAAGAATTCTCAGGTCAGTGAATGGGTGCTGTGCCAACCTTTAAGTATTTACATCATCTAAGCAGTACCAAAAATATGAAAAAAGCTAATGATGATCATGTTAAAGCTATGAAGATGGAGAATAACGTGAAAGTGAAGAGAAACAGTTAAAAGGGCTGGGGAAAATAATTAAATGCTTAAAAGGCAGCATGTTAAAACAACAGAATAGAGAAGGCTGTTAGAAGTAAAATACTCATCCGTTTAAATGTAGAAATCCTGTCCAAACGAGGAGAATAAAAGACAAGTTAAACTCATCCTGTTGAACATAGAACTCTAATGAGGCAAGCCAAAAAAAGATTTTGAAGAGCAACTTCCTACAGGCATAAAAGTGACTAATAAGAAGTTTCTCAGAAACAGGAAGCCTTTTGGAAAGTCAATGGGCTGAGAGATGATTAAGGTGCAAATAGGATACTCCAGGAAGCAGCACTGTGGTGAGAAAACTAAATGAATTATTTGCATCAATGTTCTCTTCAGAGAACAAGAGGTCATGAAGGTTTCCACACCTGAGCCATTCTTTACAGGTTCAAGCCTGAAGAGCACTCAGAAATCGAACAGTCAACAGAGGAGATTTTCAGAGCAATTCAATAAAATGAGCAGTAGCAAATCTCAAGCACCAGGTAGTATTAAACCAAGCATTCTAAAGAAGCTAAAATATGAGACTGCTAAACTACTAATTTCTGAAATCACTCTTGAAAGCAGAAAAATAGAAAGTCGCAAATGTGATGCTATTAAAAAGAAAAAAATGTTTAAGGAGCAGAACAGCAAAACTACTGACCAGTAAAATTGATTTCTGTACTAGACAAATTGGTAGCGATCATAGAAAATAGAATTGGTAAACACATAATTTTGTAGAAAGCAAACATGCCTCACAAATCCATTATCATCCTTTGGGGGAGTTAATGAGAATCAGACTAAGGGCATGCTGCCTGATATACAGTGGACCTGGGTTTTCACTAAGTGATTCACATCACCAAAGGTCCTTAAAGGAATTAAACAGTCATGAGATAAAAAAGAGGTCCCCTCACATGGTTTAATGCATGACTAAAAGTAACAAAGATTAAGGATAAACTGCCATGCTTACAAAGTGGAGAAACGGGACCCAATTGAATCCCACAGGGCCCCTGCTGGGACCTATGCTGTTCTGAGTTAGATTGGATGCAGGAATGGGGATGAAGACAGGCTATGTTCCAACTTTATAGCTTTCAATTCTTTTCTTTGTTCATGAATACAGTTTAATTTGAGTACAGACTGAACAGGTTGGTGCATAGGCCTTTATGACCAGGAGACATTGCCGGGCTTGTGTTGAGATATTGTGGATTCGTGAGCAGTCTTAAAGAGAAAGGAAGAAACTCTTTCTTAGGTTAGAAGCAGCAGTAATGGCAGGCATCAGGGAATATGTTGTGTATGCCTCAGACTTGACAGAGCTGGCAGATATTCCTCTTGTGTATGTCAAGCAAATTAAATACTAATATTGACCCCCCTCCAGCAAAGACACTTGTTGACTGAGGATAGGAGAAAAGAAACTATTTGCCAATCTATAGACCAAGATGTCAGAAATACGATACTACAACAAGAAGCAACCTTTTGTCATTGAAATTTCAGATTTTCACAAATTGTTACACTTAAACAGTTTTATTACTCTCTTGTACGAATCGAAGCTCTCTGTGTGTTAAATTTGGCTATCCGAGAAATGCAGGTAATATTTTACTGCAGGTTTATGGAGATAACTGACTGTCAAAAAATAAGGGGTCACAAGTAAAAATTATTTTCTCTGCTTTAATTAGTGAGCCTTTTCAGACACTCTGAATCCTTAACCCATGAGAACCTCAGGGCAAAAACAACCTTTGTATTGGCAGGTACACATCTGTGTTCTTTTTTTGATATTAAACAACTGCAACATTTCTCCTTTAGAGATGTTATGGTCCTATTAAATGAAAGGTGCTTTCAAAACTTATTTTTCAAATAAACTGCACTATAACTGTTGCATACAGTGATCGTAACTCTGAACTACGAATCTATTCACAAAGTGCATTGATGATACTTAGGGTTATATTTCTAAGCCTTTTGCTTGCATAACAACAGCTGTTTTGGGGCTTGGTAGTTAGGTTGTGTAATTTTTACTTCCAAGTAACACAGCAGCCTAACAGCAAGTCTCTTGTATGAGAAATGCCTAAATCTCACTTTCAGTGAAGCCATGAGTATAGAGCAGGTAAATAAACCTTTGTGTGCTTTGGTATAGCTTGCATACATATGGACTCCCATATCTTCATATGTACTGCACACCTTGGGCAGCAGGGCAGGCTGTAGGGTATATGGCAGGTATGTGGCAGGTACTGCATATATGCATTGTGTTATGTACGGGGGAAAACTCCCATATAGGACTATAATAATTTACAGACATGAAATTAGTGAAACTCCAAAGAAACCACAGGACAGCACTGCCAAAATAGCTGTAAAAACCTACTTTCCCACTCTTACCATGACAGTGAAGTTAGTGGAATTGAGGAATTTAATTAGATTGTCTGCCTGTGCTGTTTGGCACTGCCTCGTATTTTGTGGAATAAGAGGCCCTGCCGTCGCATTGCTCCAAGCTCTGGTTAGAACAAATCAGTTCACATCAATTCACATGAACAGTGCAATGACAGGTTACACCATTGAAAAGTGGATTTAATGTGCAAGGCAATGCCAATCTGATCTGACAGTGGTATAGAGTGATGGTGAGCAGCTGTCAACAAGGACACAAGTGCATGGAGACAGAAAGCCCGGAACATCCAACAGATTCTTCTTTTACTTATCCTCCTTTTGTACTGATTTAGTGAAATTGCTTGCATTTGCAAGGATACCAGGAAAAAATTAGGTCAAGTAGTACAATATTGTCCCTGAAGTACTTCCGATGAAATGGATAGAATGATACCCACTTCTCTCTTTCAGGGCTAAATTCAGCCCATTATTATTTCTGATGCATTTTGCATAAAATGAATTAATCAGTTGACAGGTTTAGAGTTGGAAGAGATTAAAAAACCCCAAAAGTAAATCTGTTTCATGATGTTCCCAAATTTGCTTTAGGCTGAAAGAAACTTCTGTGAAGTCTCTTTCTATCTTTTCTTTGTTTGTATACCCTTCCATAGATACCTGCTATCAATTGCTGTTCATAACATGGTGCTGGAAGAGCTGAATTTTGGGTTGAGCTGTTAAGTCCATTCCTATATGTATGGTGAAAGGGCAACACCTTCCCCTCACATACAATTTCTGCAAGACTAGGATACTAAAACCATATAACTTCAATTATGCTTATCTTTCTGAGAGATTAGGGAACTACAAAATGACTAAAGCAAACAGCTGCCTGAACTGATATCACACAGCTGAATTTTTCACAATTTTTTTTCTCTCAGTATATTTGTTAATTTCTGTCCCAGCAAGACTACAAATGAAGCTTAGCTGACCAGGGTAAAGTGAGAATAAGCACTGAGTTTTTATCTAGGGAAATGAACATTTCTTCTGCTTGGACAATGCTCTTACCATTTGTGGGATGAGGTGAACAGATAATAAGTACAAATCTTTGTTAATGTAACCATAAAGTTTTACAGCTAAAATTGAAAAGGTCAAGTAGTGCAAAAATCAAGGTTTCTATAGCAATCTTGCAATCTTTAACTTGGCTTCATTCCACAGCTGAAGCATTTTCTTTTCTATTTTACGTTGTTAAATGTGTCATGTAATGTATTCCTGTTTGACGCTAAATGCGTATGATAAGTACACCAGGCAGGAATTGTGGTAGAAGTAACTGTTGCCATGGGAACTTCAACTTTTGCATGTGCCAAGTTTGAATCTGTAATAGTGAAATCATAAGACTGCAATGAAAGAGGGTGTGGCACATCCCTCTGACCCACCCCTTGGAAGCAATCCCTTCTTGTGTGCCTCCCAACCATCTCCATGCTCCCACATCTGATCCGCAGCAGGTCCCTACGCCGGGGTGAGGAAATATTGGACTGTTCTTCTGCCTGTCTTTTTCAGAGAGTCTATTGAATTTCTTCCTGATACTGCCCACTTACAGGTGAGCCTCTAGAGGCTTGCACACAGGATCAGATCTGACCCATGTTGCCTTGTTCAGTGAGTTCATTAGCATGTGTTTAGCAACACTTATCAGTTCTCTGGCAATTCCAGATACATTTTCCCTTAGCCTCTCACAGCTGCAGAGTTATGGACCTATTTTATGTTGTGAAGAGCAAGGGTATTTATTGTATGACAACTTCTACTGGACCCAGCCAGAATCTGGAACCCTATCCCAGGGGCTTGAATAAAGTTATTTGTTCCCTAAGCATTTATGCCATCAGTTTCCTAGAGAAATACACTGCGCATAAACATTCTTCCTTTAGGCCCTTTCCCTAACCTAGTCCTAAAATGGGAATTGCTTTCTTGCTGAAATTCTGATGCAGCAGTGTTTGTTTACTCCCAGATATACCTCAAACCCTGAAATATCAAAAGCACGAAATAGAACTGCAGAGTGAAACATGTTTGTAGATAACAAAACTGTTCATTTAGTCAGTCTCTGAAGACACTCGTCACCTTGTGGGGATTTTTTCCAATATCCTGTATTTCTTTTCCTTCCTGTGGCCCAGAATGTCAGGCTGAAATGTAGCTCCTGAGGGATTTCTGTAGTGGGGAGAAGCCCAAACTTTGAATCTGTTGTACAATTCTGTGGGCCTCTTCTGACAGGAGATCGAAACAGAAATGATATAGGAATACATTTTCCCAGGGAAATGCTGAGCCTCTCTTCAGACACTTTGATGCATGCTGGTGAGGTAGCCTGGATGGCTGCACAACCTCTGTGCGTATGAACCACTTTGTTCTCACCACTTTTCTGTCCAGTGATTTTTCATAGCTTTAAATTCAGGAGGAAGAAGCATGTGGGGGGAACTGTGGAGAGACAGAAGGAAAGAAGGAAAAAAAAGTAAAGAAGGTTGGTCTGTCTCTCTTCCACAATATATACAATTGTCAAAGGAAAGTGACAATCAACAGAAACTGGGAGGTAGCTTCCCAAGCAGCACTGTGTGCCATCACTTGAAGAACAAAGAGTTTATTCTTTTCCTCTTGGGATGATCACCCATGCCAAATATTCTGGCACGTTCTTGAGCCTGCTATACAAATAATATTCACTTCCTAACGGGACCATTTGTCTGTGGGTAATGCTCTAAGTTATACTGCTGGGATTTGCAGGGCATGAGAATTTTCGGTGTTGGAAAGAGCATAAAAGGCCACCTCCTCTCTCTGCAGGCAAGCAGAGACTCTGCATTCTCTTCATGTGGGCTCTTCTTTGTCTTTAGGCTGGAGATTGTCTTAGATCCAAGTCAACCCAACAAAAGCTGATTATCTCACCTTTAAATAGAGGGATTACGGAGAAGTTGAAACTGGGTAACAGATCTCGCACTTGAGCAGCTGAGGGGGATAACCCTTCAGACGAAACAGATTTGAAGGAAGAAAGGGAAAAAAATTTCCAAGTTGAAGATTAATGCAGTGTTGTAGCTCCAAGCATCACACCTGACATTTGACTCATCGTTCATAGTTATTTGTATCTGAATAAAAATGAACACAAATAAATAGTAATTTTAATTCATTCTGCAGCATCAAATCTGCTTTTCCTATAAAAAGTTCACCATTGAGGAAACTTTCTTGAGAAGCATTAAAAAGAAGAAAAATGCCAACGTCGACATTGACATCTTTATCTTTTCTCTTTCCACAGCACCACAACAAATGTTTTGGGTTTTTTATTTGCAACATATATTTCCTCCTACTTATTGTGAATGCTTTGAAACCAAAAAGGCTGCAATTAAATTCTTGAAAATACCCTCCCTAAAACAGCTGTCTTCTAGGACTACTGTAGAACAGGTCCCAAATTAGTACAAAGAAATGGTCAGCAGAATTTGGATATTACATAAGTGCAAAGGTAATTTTGAGCCACCTTTAATTTTCCCAGTCCTCGTTTACTTATGCTGATATCCTGAAAACTATTTTTCATCTTCACCATTGAAATACTGTTTAGGTGAAAGTGCTGATGGTAGCCTGGGCTTCCTGAAGGAGATTTGGTGGCTCCTGTGTTTTCCTGGGGCACAGGAACACGTAGACTGTCTGTCTGTCTGTCTGACCACAGTGTCTCCATGGTCTGTGCTGGGGGAGTTTTGGAGTTATCTCAGCATTAGTGTGCTCACAAAGGGTTTTCCTGAGCTGGCACAAGCTCCCTGAGTTGCCATGTTGCTTTGGGCCAGCAGAGAGGTGGAAACCTGGTTTTGCCTTCAAAATACACTAAAACTGAAAGCAGTTTTCTGGTATGACCACACTAGCGCTGTTTTGACTCTGAAATGGATATATCTTTGAGGATCATATGGATCAAGAGTCCTGGAAGTAAGATAAACCAGATTCCACAGGAGCTTTTCTCTAGTCTTTACCTATCCAACAATATTTAATACTTGGAACTCTAACTACTGAAGATCAGCATGTATGGAATTGGGCCTGATTCTGCTTTAAGCTGGTACAATTTCAAGGAGGTGATCCTGATTTACACTCAGGTAACTGAGAGGAAAATCAGTTCTATTATATCCATAAGAGTGCTCATATTTTAAAAAGGTTAGAGTTTTAAGCTGTCATTTCAGCCAAGGCAAATAGATTTTCTTGTCACCCCTCCTCAGAGTCCATGACAGCTAAGAGCTCTTTTAGATGGATTTTTGAGTTGGTGGAGGATAGCAACAAGCTACAAAAACACCACAGAGTGTCTTCCTAGTATTTTACCTTTTCTTCTGGTCTTCTTTATATCATCATAAACTAGATAAAACAGCAGTGCACAGCATGAGTAGCATTTTGATGTCATTCAGACTACCAAAGAAGTGGAAGATACAGCTTAGTTCCAAGTGCCAGACATGCACTGGCAAGATTAATTTACAGCAAAGTCAGAAATCTGAGTAGGTTTGAATTATACTCCTCCATAGTAAAAAAAAAAAAAAAAAAAAAAAAAAAAAAAAAAAAANAAAGAAAAAAAAAATTGCACTATGGAAATTGATGTGGCATAGTGCACAGGGGAAAGAAAAACATTTTCATTCCACTTTAGAGATAGCATCAGAGTCTAGAATTAAGACAAGCTAGTGAGAATATCTAATGCTGGTGTTAGAAGAGAAAGGTATTTGTCTTCCCAAGTCAGGCCAAATTCTACTTTTTCAATTGTTCTGGGGAAATACAGATTTACACCTGAACCAATAAAAGCAGGATGAGCTCCTTTTCACCAGGCAAGAAGAGAAGAGATACAGATCACTCTGCAAAGCAGAAGGAAACAGTGCAAAGTAATTTGCACCACCAAAACACATTTCCCCCTCAAGTATGAAGCAGTGGGGAGCAGCAATCAAAATTTATTGTTCCAGTTAAAATTCCACATCATGATGTTACTGGAAAGGTAGCACGATGAGCTCAGCTTTTCTACAACGTGTCACAAAAAGTATAGGCAGAAGCCTGTTAAGATTAAAGAGTCCTTTGGCACATCATACATTTTCTTGATTCATTGTAAACCATTAATTTTTTAATGATATTTTATTTACTTCATGGGCAAGCCAATAAATTCAAATTACATCTTGAAGGAAGTTTACTGCATTTGGACCTTACCATGGAAACCTCTCATGTATTTATATTTCTAATGTGGATGAATGGGTCAGATCTTAATAGCAGATTAGGCAGATATGATAGTCAAGATGTATCAATAGCAGTGCTCTTTTTTTGCTTTAGCAGTCCACTTCTACCTTTTCTGTGCAGAAACTCCAAATATTTATGTAAATATGTAAATCAAGGTGATAAAAATGATAGAAAACATTTTTTTTCTCTAGCTCCTGAGCCGTGATTTTATGTTTTATTGCTGATTACAGTGACATTAAATAGTCAGTAAAACAAGTATATCTGCATCGCACAGTGCATAAACAGCATTTTGATGACTGTCTAAGTTATTTAAAATTTTTCAGTTGCGTGATATTTAGAATTGTACCCTTTCTTAGAAACCCCTTTCCTTTTTGACTTCTCAATGGCAGTGATTTTTATGAGTAAGAGCTTAGAGCTCTGTAACCAAATTCATTACACTGAAGTAGAAATTCTTTATTTGTCATTAATTTGAAAATAAATTGTGTCACTAAGTCTTTCCCTTCATTGAAAGATAAGCATTTTGTAAAATTAAATAAAGTGCAAAGTTGCGTACTCAGGGAAGCTTGTGCAGTTCTTGACAGTCATCTAAATATGATCATAACTTCTCTGATGATTTTCTAACTTATTCTCCCCCGTGAATCCTCCTTCTCTCCCCTCCACCCTTACCTTAGGGTTTGCCTTATGCAAGCAAGACATCAAATCTACCCAGATCAAAAATGAAAACAGGTTTTTTTTTTGTTTTTTTTGGTGTTGGGTGGTTGGGTGTTTGTTTGGTTTTTTTTTGGGTTTTTTTTTTTTTTTTTTTTTTTTTTTTTTTTTTTTTTTTTTTTTTTTTTTTTTGTTTTGTTTTGTTTTGGGTTTTTTTGAAAGTCGAGTTTCTACTTGGAGCTTGTTCAAACCCTTGCTGGGTTTTCAGAAACCAGTGACAGAAATGGCTTCTGATTCATGACTGTGCTTTGTTACCTTTCAAAACAGTTGTGTTTGTAAGCTCTACTGTTGCTGGCTGTGTTAGTGTTTACTGAGTTCAGATGCCATTAGCAAGGTGCTGATCTTCCTCAATGTGGACAGGAGTCTAGCATCTCAGAAGATGCCCACAGCATCTTGTAGGATCCTGTCCAAACCCTAGAAACAGTCTTACTTCTGCTTTCACACAAACCATTGATGCTGAGTGATCTTTGTGATAATGCTAGGATTTCATTTTAACTTGCTTGTAATTTTTATTTATTGTAATGTTTTGCTGTTTGCTGAAAGTCCAGTAAGATTTTGCATTATAAAGCTAAACCTTTCTCTACCATCATATGGTGTTATTGTGTCAGGAAATAAAAACATTCCAAGGTTGCTTTCCAGGATACATCCAGTTGAACAGAACTGCACATGGGCTAATTATTTCATTTGATCCATAACCAGGATGTCAACTCAGCCTCAGAAAAAGCCTCTGGGAGAAAAACAGAATTACCTGTACTTATGCAAAAATGTTCTGGAGATCATCTTCAGAAGACCCAGTAGCCATTCTGTAAGAAAAGTAAAAAATATTCTCATCCTTAGCTGGTAGATTCCTCTAGGGAAATTATGAAAATACACGAGTAACTGTCAGCCCAGAAGGCTGATAAACATAGCAGTTCTTCAGATAGACACTGATTTTCATTCTGGTAAAGTCATGCACATATTCTCCAAACTACCATAAAAAAAAATACCCATGTTATACTCACAGATACCAGTTTTCACCTTAGCCATGGAATAGTGCCTCTCCTTAGAATGAAGTCTGGTGTGTCCCAAGTAGCTTAGTAGCAGTAGGAGCACAATTACTGCCCTTGAATTTAACCACTATAAAAAGAGATTCTCCACTGAACCACAGTCCTTCCCCTTATATTCATTTTGCACAAGATGCATTTCCACCTGGGAGCTGCCAGTATGCCTGTCTTTCATGGTACACCAGGTAACACAGTCTCTGGAATGTGCCTCTAGTCCAGGACAACACTTTGGAAAGGGCACCTTAAGTCTCTCTAGTTAGGCAGATTACCATATTCACAATGTTCCTAAACTCCACCTAGATGAATGATAAGCACTTTGGTCTACTTCTTCATAGAGAGCTTCATCAGTGCTTTTCTTGTAACATTCTCATTTGCTCCAGAATTTGGCTCTTCCACATCCACAGACAGACCTGGCTTCTTCCCTTGACATGGATTGAGATATTTGTACCAACCTTGATATGCTTGAAGGAGATTGATGGTGAAATCCCCATCAGAACTGGATGCTGTGGGAGGTATCCTTCTGACAGAGTTTCATATGCCTGAAATCTTGTCCATGTGGCCAGTAAAGAAGGAGTTTGGCTCTGCTGGGCACATTTGTGTAACACGTTGTCTCAGTGGGATTCCTGTCTCCATTCAGCTTCCCAACCACAAAGGCAAAACCACAACCAACCTGCAGATCTGTATATGTTTTGTTTAACACCATGAATAAGTAAGAGGTCTCAACATTTCTCAAACACATATAGGGCAAATATTTCTCTTCTGGGGAATGATAGACTTATAGTTTGTATACCAAAATTGCATTTCTCATTGCTCAGGAAAACTTTTCAGTGTTGATCATACCTCATAAATTGTGCCTCTGAGATGAGATGCAAACAGCAAACTATGTCAAGGTAAACACATATTTAGGCACAATTGAAAAGAGGGCCAGTGTTTGCAGGAAATGATCATTTTAAATTATGATGTGCCACTGGCACTGATCTGGGATATCACACCAGAGTCAGCCCACCTGCTTCTGAGATTCTTCAGGCTGGTCCTCTTTTTTATAAAATCCCAATTTGTATTCCTTCATAAGATCATCATCTAATATACATATTTCAGTAAAATCACCAGCTCTTTGAGTCTCAGTGAAGCTTAGAAAATAATTATAATGACTTGTTTCTTGTTCCTAGATTTTCCAAATGTGCTTGATTTCCTTTTCTAGCACCCAGAATGCACATCTTATTTTACTACTAGCTGTTAGTCAGAAATGAGCTTTGCTTAATTCAATGGGCTTTTTTACAAAATGTTAGAGATATAGTAGACTGTTTTATAATACTTATACTATGGCATAAATATTTTTGCAAGTGTACTAAAAACCAGATTGCTTCTCCCCCTCTCTGTGGCTTCAGAGAAAGTTTTTTGCATTTTTTAAAATGTAGTAGTGCCTTCTTAATGTTTCTGAGGCCAGTGGTTACAGACATAGTCACTCATACACACACAAACACACACTTGCAGATGCAGTCATACAGATAAACAGCTTTACAAAAACAGTCTGCATATAGGGGCCTGGATTAAATGATCTTTCATGGAGATTAAAAAAACAGAACAAAACAGAAGTAGTAATTAATCAAAATAGAAGTGAATAGAAAACTTTTAAGTTGTTGCAAATTTGGAGAAATATTCCTTATTCAAGTCAAAATTAGAAATTAAAATCTGCTCTATTTTTGAATATCTCTCATTCAGAAAAATTATACTGATGTAAATGTCTTTATTTTGAAAGTAAGAATTTTGGTTTCTATTTGCTAAAATCTTTTTGAAGAAAGTTGACTGAGAAGTCAACACTGTCCCAGAAATAATTCCAAACTGAAGAACACAATGTTTCCTTTAATGAAATGAGGAAGATGGGGTTGAGGCCATAGTGCTGCTTTCTGGATTAGGTTTCTGTACAGAGTTAGGATTTCTGTCTGAAAGGATACCAGAATAGGGATGCTGGTCCCTCACTCCAGAGTGGTTCCTGTTTCTGTGGCCACTGATGGATTGATGAAAGTGCACACACACTGTAAAAGACAGATGATGGAAATCTCTATCTTAAAATGCCCTATAGACATATTTTTCCCTCGTAATGTTCTTATTTATGCAGCTTGCTCAAGAGCAAGGACTTTGGAAGCCACCTGGCCCACAGTGTAAGATCCACTCCCAACACACAGGTCTGAACCTCTCCTAGATTTTTTTCCAGGAAGAAATTCAAGTTCTTCTATTTTTCTGAACATACTCCAACACTGGATTACACTCTGGTGAGGTGGTAGAATTATCCCAGACCTTGCAGAGCTGTCAGGGACACACTGACAGAGAGATGCCACTGTTGCCTCAACCCTGGCTATACCGAACCTTTGACAAAACACATTTAAAAGGATGTGCCAGCCACACTAGATGGGCATGGATTACTGAGATTAGTATGTCATTGTGTTCTACAATGGTTTGAGGTCTATAAATGGCTGTTAGGCATCAGAAAAATTCCCTCTTAACACAACTATGGGATGGTTCACCTTTTTCCAGAGCTTGATTCAAAGAGCACCAAAGTCAATAGGACTCTCAGTGTTACTTGAGAGATTAAGACCTGTCTCACCAGGTGATTTTTTCCCTCTGTCTGCTTGGATGTAAATTCAGCAAAACTGTGTGTCTTTTGCATTGGGAAATCTATTCTCACAGCTGGAGATCTTTTCTGTTAAAAAAGACTAAGCTTGAAAGAGGAGAAGAGGCTGATCTAGAGAACAAAGGAAATGCTGCAATTTTGTGGAGTTTTCAGCAGTGCAGAGAATGTTTTCCTTTTGATAAAGTGCCAAATGTGTGGTCTGTTGCACAAAGCAAAATATGGCTAGCTGCTCTCCTTTTCTAGAGAAAGCTACCTGTAAGGTATGGCACTTCCTTGTTTTCTTGGAAGCCCTGTCTGTATATGAAATCAAACTCCAGTTCCACATCTTTAGTGTACAAGTAATGTGGGAGTGTTAAATTCAGAGACACGGTGGTAGGTCTTGATTTCATGTGCAGGAGGATCAAGCTGAAGTGATCCCGTTCTAATTGCTGTGATATTGTGCAAGACACCTTGAAATTTCTCTGTAATGCCATTTTGTTCCATCAACCAAAATAAAATTTTCATGAACTCTCACAGCCATCTGTAGCATATTTTTTGATGACTGTGCATCATTGGTATGTATTCCTGGGAAGTGTGATATGTAATGATAATAGGCCTGATTCCACACTACTGAAGCACCTACGAGGATTTCCATCAGCTTTCATAAGAGTTGAAACGTGCCTTAGCTGAGCTATTTGGGAAAGGAGAAGCTTTCTAAATTATATATTTCTTTAGCTCTGCAAAAGGTTCTTTGGGGTCACTGTCTGCTCTGGGTGAAACACATATTTCTATCCACAAACAAAAGGACTGCTCATCTCGCATGACTAGCATGTTGGGAAGGTAAGGAGACAATCAAATAAACTCCATCCTCTCCAGTTCTTAGACTGTTTGTTCTGCAACATCCAGAACAGGAAAAAAAGGACATAGCTTGTGACATAGCCAAAGGCTTAATAACTTACAATTCCTGCAGCCCCAAGGGCCTTGAAGAAGAAAAAATGCCAGACTCAAGGATGTCTACTCCTTCAGTAGTTTCCTGCTTTGGTAGCAAAGGAGCTCCAGCCCAAAGGGATCATTTAATAGCAACTGGGGGCACAGGATCCTTCTGTGGCAACCAGGGATAAAAAAAGCTGTAGTCTGCAGTGAGTTATCAGGCAGGATTTTAGCCACATCTCCAGGCAAAAGAGATGTTGACAGTAATAGGGAAGTCTAACAGAAAAGAGGAGACCTGTGTCTACTCCTCATGCAGAAACTAAGATAGATTTTTTGGCAAAGCCCAGGGGAAGAAGTTCAGTCTCAACACAAGCCTAAATTGAGCTAATTCCATCTGCCTGACCAACAGCAGTTGCCCTCTCCCTCAGTGAGCAGTGGAGATGTCAAGACTTCTCCCTGCCTCTGTTCATCCCACCAAGGTCGCCTCTGTCTCTTCCACACTCATTTGCAAATAGCCAGCTCCCCTGAAAGCCTCAAGTGTGTCTAGACATTGGCTAATCCCTTCCCTTGTGCCAGCTGGGTGACATCAGCATACTGAACACTGCTGCAAATCTCTGCACAAGCCAGGTCTCTTGGCACACGTTATCACGAGCATTTCCCATGCTACTCTGCTGGAATCACTGCACACTGAGGAACGCTGCCAATGGCTACCTGTTAGGGTGCCTCTGGAGCATGAAGGTGACAGCTTCAGTGCAATTCCATGCACTCCTGGGAGACTCTGAATAAGTAATCAAACCTCATGGTCATGGTTATCCTCCTCAAGGAACCACTGTGGATTCAGTTTCTTTGTCTGTACTTAGCAGAAGTTAATCTAGATGCTCCAAACTTTTCATATCAGTATTAATTCCCTTTTGAGGTCTATAAACTTTGATCCTATCCAAGTAAAACTGAGGATTCAGGAAGTTAGCACTTTGCACAGCAAAAAATTTAGTGATCTCCTGCCACCTGGCTGATTGCTTACCCCTGCTCAAGGCTGTCAGCATCAAACAGGCTGCTGAACACTTGTTTTTTCCTAAAAGATATTCCAAGTTCAATGACATTCTCATTCTCTGTCATGTAAAAAATAAACAAAAGAGCTTGTCAGAATAAAGCCATTTACTGTATACTCAGAAATACCTTTAATTCTTGCATGGCACTTAAATACTTAAAAAATCTTGAGATCAATAGATTGATCTTACTGAGTCATCTGTCTCCCATCTACTCAAATATTTGTGCTCAGCATTGTAATTATCTCAGCACCTTTACATTGGGAAAAGGAGTATCAGAAAATCACAGTCATGGAATGGTTCAGGTTTGGAAGGCATCACTGGAGGTCATCTTTTCCAACCTCCCAGCTCAAGCAGGATCCCTTACAGCTCTACCCAGGATTGTGTCCAGACAGCTTTTTAATATCTCCAGACAAGGAGACTCCACGACTTCTCTGGACAACGTGTTCCAGTGCTCAGTCACCCTCACAATAAAGAAGTTCTTCCTCACATCCAGAATACCAAAATGATGCCTGCATCCCTTTCTCTAAATAAAGTTGTTCTAGACCTCTTCACTGTGCAAAGAGCAGCAGGGAGAATGCTGAGGAGGGGAAATGCTTGGGGAAAAGGTCTTCAGGTTTCATAGGCATGGGGTGGGTCTCTGCCCTTCTGCTGAACCAATAAAGATTGCCTTGTTTTCCAGGAGATTATGTTCAGCCAGTACCTGCAGCATGTGTATGTTACACAGCAAAATGGACCTTGCCACTGTCTGCTGAGCACATTCATCTGTCTTTTAGTCCAGTGTCCTGGCTGAAAACATTGACAATATTCAAAACTTTCAAAGATAAAAGGTTTCATCTACCTGGTCAACTCATGCCTAGGGGCATGAGATTTAATTGCCTTTAACATTATCTGTAGTTTAAAAAATAAACTTTGTAAAAATTATTTCAGCTTTGGTCTTACTATACACTGAGAAGTGGTAGACACCAGTAACAAAAACACCATTCAAACACCAACTTCTGAGGGAAGTTAATTAAGTTTTAAATGTATACCATTTCAGTAAAATAAATGACAACTGACTTATACATCCATGTAACAGTAAACCAAGATTTTATGTCATCTTCTGCATTGGTACATAAATCAAAAGTCACACATACAGATGACTTAACACTGCAGTTTACAGTATTAACAAGTTTTTTTTCATATCAGGTTCTCAACCCTGGTTTTCCAAAATCTCCAAAGTAATATATTTTAACAAACAAAATTAGGCAGATGTATCATCCATTGTGGGATTTGAACCCATTGTCACTGGGGAGAAAGCTGCAATTTAATAGATGAAGATGTCAAACCATGTTA